ATATCTCGGGAGAGACATCAACAGTAAGTGTAACTTGGTTAATGTAAAAGCATGATCGTTTAATGGGCAAGAAAAGTTAGATATCAGAGTTGTAAGGCCTGGACTCGGCCTGCCTCTATCTATTCCTCATTTTTGGTTGAGTTTGTGGATTAGTTTTAGTTTACGTTGGCATTGCCACCACTCGGGCCTTCCGCATTTTTCTCTGCCAGACAGAGAAAGTTGATGCCACAATTCGTTGTGCAGCACTCAAAGTCCTCTTGACAGTATCTGCCGACGGAAATGCACTCCACACACGTGCCCGCCTCCTCTCCGGTCTTGTCGTCGTAGAACTCGATCTGACAAAATGATCCAAAGCAGCAGTGCTTGTCCGGTTCATCCTCCCATCGGCTGCAGTTCACTCGACTCTGCTGGATGCAGGCCATCGCGCCGTGATTGGGCGTCTGCAACAGCTGCAGGTGGAAGTGTAGCATCAGACCCAGCAACCAGCAGCCCAGACTCGTGAGCAGGCGAAGATTGAAATGCGACACGCGATTCATTGGTCCTGTTCAACTCTGAGAGGAGGCTAAAATGGCACAAGTGAAAGGACACTTTCGGATAAACCCAAGCATTACCAAATGGGATGTAGCAGAACATGATGAGGTCGCATAGTGACTTGTAGCTAGTTGGTATTCAATACTTGAGAGATACAATCCTGCTAACCATTTCTGATTGGCCTTCTTCTCTTCTTTAAATGGTACTGATGCTGATTAAAGAGATTTCACTTGGCCGATTTTCGTCAAGGACTATCAATTTCTACGGTTTCATGTTGACACAGCGAGTCAACCGATGCTGAAGAGGAGGGAATGCTTAATTTTGGCACTTGCCGTCAACCTCCAGCGCCTCTTATCAGCCCAGAGGTCAAATTTCGCTCCAGCAGTGCGCAGTTCGAATCCCGCACGGGGTGCTGATGAGTCGACGAGACGGGGAGGACAACTGTCCTTGGTTTTAAATAAGCAAATTAAACGCTCCCTCCAAATGTTTTGGATACTTCCATTTCGTAGGCAAGTGCATGATGAAGAGATTTGCACATTGATCTCACCACAGCACGACGGCTGATGTCCGTTTGACTTTATATACGAAGAAAATTTGGGTTTTGAGGAATCTCTTGTTTTAATAATTGTTGTGCTTAGTTCCATTTCGAGTGGAAGTGTTGGGTGAAGAGATTCGAAGGTCGGTTCCACCAGAAGACGACGG